GGTGATTGCCCAAAGGTGGAAGGTCCAGTGAAGTGCAAGAAGTAGGGAAAATGAATAGGGGCTAAACAAGCAGACACTCTTGTAACAGTGCCCATTCCCCAACTCTGAGCAAAGGGGTCCAGCACAGGTCACAGATTCACTTTCCTCATACAAGTTAAACACTATCATGCAAGCTCTTGGACTTGCCATCAAAAAAAGGACACAATTGCTTTGCTGACCAACAAAATCAAGACATCTTGATGAGCACCCTGCACTGGCAGACAATGCACACTTTCTGCATTGTTTGGAGCTGAAAAGTGTTGCACACATTTGGGGCATGCCTTGCACAGCCAGGACCCTGCACCTAACATCAGTGCTACTAGTAGTAGTCATACTACATGGTTATTGTCACTCCCTGCACCATATTTTGGCTTTAGCTCATCACTGCCTGTCTCACAGCCACTTACTGCAATGAGGCATATGTGACATACTCCCCCTCTCCATAAAGCTTATATCAATCACATTTATTAGCCAGCATGTCCTGTGGATCTTACACAACACCTGCTTACTCATTCATACCATATGCAATCATCTAAAGATTCTACACAGTACCCACACCCTTCATAATTTCATACCAGTTGATAATGGATATTCAATAAATCACTTTTTAATTGATTTTAATAACAATAATGGATGCTACAAAGCCACAACACTGCATGTAAAGACTGCCTGTGCCAGCTACTGGATGCTGAGCAGTGCTTGTTTTTGGCAGATGTGACATTGTGTTACTACTCTGTTACATTATGTGACTGTCCAAATAAGTGGTTGTCTGAAGTTGCAGTAACTGATAGTAACTGAAGTTCAGCCACAGTAGCCAACTTCAAATGTCTGGGCCTGATGCAAGCTGAGATGGAGCTTGAACCTTCTTGACCTCCTGCAATGACCTCCCTCCAGTGGCATGTGCCTCATACCCTCAATCTGTGGGAGCAGTGTAGGCAGATCATACCAATTATAATTGGAATTATCATCTGTATCCACTACCAACTATTTCTCATGTCTCAAGAGCCAAAGGCCAAGAAGGCTCCAAAGGCAATCTGGAATGATGCAGAGACAGATGCCCTTGTTGCATACAGTGGCTCAAAAAAGTGTCCCAATGTTTGTGAGTTTTCATGTAATTGCTTCATTGTGAGTCAGGGCATGGGAATATGACTAAGCCATGGGGAGGTGGATGATCAATGTGTATGCAAGCTTGTGAGTACACCACATTGATTTAGGGTTTTATAAGCTGCATGTGAAATCCTTTTGACATTTCCTGCACTTTCATAGTAGCAGGCCTGTGTGCTAAGACATAGATAGTGTGTGCTTCTGTCCAAACATTCTTGGAATCTTTTTGCCTTGTACCACCACCTTCTGGTACTTGGCTCTGATTTTTAGTTGTTTCCTTTTGTTCCACTACCATTCTCCCCAGTCTTACAATACACTTAACATCATGGTCAATAGTAATCCTCCTACTGGTAGAACCTCTCTTACCCAGGACCAAATCATTGCTGAGAATGCAAGCATTACTACACATAACTGTTACAAGAACATCTGCTTGTTTAGCCCCTATTCATTTTCCTTCTCCTTTCACACCTCACTGGACCTTCCACTTTTGGGCAATTGCCCCTATTTCCCTTTCTGACTTGTTCCTTTCATTTCTTGTTAATTTCACTGATCACTCTTGATGGTTGTACCACTTCGTTGGCTTGTCCAATGACTCACTGACCCTATGCCCTTACTGCTGTGGGAAACACAACAAGAAGAGAACTGGAAAGTAGACTTCTAATGTTGGGCTAAATGTGCTATGCCTAGCTGCTATTCAACCCTAAAGGGTTTCTGGACTAGACTCAGTGCTCAGAGAGAGTAGGAAATCATGCTAAAAACTGCTCAGTCTCAGACTGGTACTGGTAGGTGGTGAAAACTATGATGATTACATAAGCACCAAAAGTGCGAACATAACACTAAGCAATATCTGCCTATACAAGCCCACAGAATATGAAATCCCTACACTGCCCAACTGGTATCTCTTACTTACTTTGGTATTCTGACTTGTTGCGACTCATCATGACTCACACAACCTATACCCTTACCATTCAACTAGTACCTCTTACTTACTTCAGTATTCTGACTCATCATAACTCGTTCACCCTTTACCCTTACCACTGACACAGCAGACCTGCCCTGAGCCCTTCCTACAGTATATATACCTCTCAGGTAGCACTTGTATTCTCTAACTTGAATCTACTTGGTTTATACTGTCTTATGCTTGAGCCCTAAGCAAGCTCTCCTCTTTATCAAGTGTCTTCATTGGAGCTTGTCACTGCCAACGACCTTAAGCCTTGAGAAGAGAATGATTGATGACTCACTATCATAATTATCAATAATTGATTGTAGCCCTTGCAGCTAGATATTGCTGTGAACTCATACCATTGAACACTCACTGGTTGCAGTAGGCTTGATGTGAGCCCCAATCCAAGTTCTACATTACTCACTTGCTTGTTGCAGACTTAGCTTGATCATAACAATAACCAAGAACATCAAACACATCATAATCAAGGTGAAACCAATGTGAAAAGTGACAAGTCCTTTCTCATCATTCCCCCTTCTTTTACTAATGCCCTACTAATCATCCTCTGGCCAATAATGTTATAGCCACATCATCTTCCTCCTCTAATACTTCCTCTTTCACTACTAATAATATGTCTGTCTTCTTACAAGTACCTACTGTTCCCTTCTCTTCACCAAGACCCAATACCCCATACCCACTACCACTACTATTGATCTGTCTAGCATGCTTACTGCCTTTCAAAAATTGTCTCCCTCCAAGTAACTATCATTCCAAAACTCTATGAATGCAGCCTTAATTCCCTCTGCACCTACTACTACTACTACTACTAATATGAACATATCATCTTCCCTCATATTTGATATTGCTAAAGAATGATCAACCCCATCTTCTCATTCCATTAGAGATGTTTACAGCATTCACACATACATTTTAGAGTTAGCCAGGAACAATCAGCATATCCCCTTCTCACTACTCACATATAAGATTATGAGACATCTTTTCCTTAAATCATCCATCCTCAAGTTTATCACTTTTTACCCCTCTCACCAAGGCTCCACTCCCACAAAATGCCATCTTCTTGACATCTCACAATTCACTGCAAAATCTAACATCAGCATTCCTGAATGGCACAAGGCTTGGGCACATTACCTCCATTTCCTTCAGGAACATACCTCTCCCAATATTCACACTCACTGGGCTAACCATTACAATATTTTATGTAAAAACCCTGACTTCACAGACAATTGGATGGCCATCCTCACATTCAACATTGAACAACAAGCCTCATATGTGGCTGATTCTCAGACTTTTGATAAAGTTAAGTACTTCCATCAATTGAAAGATATTAAAGGTTATGTTACCAGGAAGGAATTCCTAAAGGCCATTAGTGATGCAATGACTGATCTCAAGAGTCATCATCACGAACCCTACCCTTCCTGGGATTCTTCCTTTTGGAAGACTTAAAATTCTGATAAGTCTTTTTAGGCCCCAAACAAATCTAACAGTCCAGAATGCCTCCCCCTTCTGTCTTGCATGTGCACAACTTGGTCACACCTTCCCTAATTGTCCTAATTTGTCATTATCAAGTTTGTCCACACACTTAAAGGTTGTCAACAAGCAGTTAGTCCAATGAGTCAATGCAGACATTAGATACTACATCGACTTTAACATCTTCTATAACAACAAACAAGTTTGTACCAAATGCACCCACAAAGGAGGTGAGATCCACACCTGCTCTCTCTGTGGATCTACAGAGCATGGTGCCTGCAGTCACAAATGTTTGGCAGCTTGATCCACTCTCAATTCTCTTTTCTTGGTGGGCCACAGTGAAGGTTCAACAACTCTGCTGGCTTGCAGAGCGGAAGAAAGAAAGATGGCTCTCACTCTGGGGTGAGAGAAAAGCCACTAACTCTCTATGTGTTGATCAAAGTGTACCAAGTGATGTGTTCAACCCTTAAGGGAAGCAAAGAAAGCAAGTATCCACAAAGTGACACCAGGTCAACTCTGGTGAAGCATGATGAAAGTGTGTGTAGGAATATGGAGCATAAAGCATGGGAATAAGGCACATGCTATGCACAGACATATGAAAGACTGGTAGAATGTATAAAGACATAAACTGGGACTGCTGAGTGGAGACTGATGGTGATAGACTGCTACTGAAGGCTAGGGTGATGACTGATGCATGCTGGCTGAAGATGATAGATTCTGACTGCTAGATGATGATGGTAGTAGGTAGTGGTAGTCACTTACTGAAAACTTCCTAGGCAACAGGTAGGCTGTGCCTAGGTGCACTCCCAGGGCTCGGAAGTGAACAAGGAGCACTGTATGTATGTAAGTGAGGCAAGGTAAGGGTCCATGATAGAATAATATATCATATGATACCAGGAATGGTCTGATATGAAAATAAACATGAAAGGATGCACCAGGGAACTGGTTGGACAATGGATAGATACTCCAGGATGTTGCACAACATAGGGTGACCAAGTGTGGGAAGAGCACACAAGGTACATGCATGGGAATGCATCACATAGTGCAGGAAAGTGTTGCACCTCTGGCGCATTTTGCAGGAAAGTCATAGATAGTAAGTTGCACACTATACTAATCATCATAAGTCAAAATATGTGTGATATATGCCTGGAGGAATCTTATTCTCTACAACAGATCCTATTCCTAATACTGCAGCTCCCTATCATATATTGTACTTAGATAATCTTAGTATTACTCAAACACCTTTTGATGCAGATGCAGACTTCTCCAAAATCATTATGTCTTATTCAGCAGATAATCTCAATATCTTCTTGTACAATGCTAACCTTCTTGAGGACTACCCAGAACTTGCATTCAAAATCAAGCATGGCTTCCCCTCAGTTATCTCAACCTCATTCACTCTACTTATGCACCTCTTACTCTCTCCAGTGCTAATGAACATGAACACATCATCAAGGAGTACATTGACTCTGAGCTTGCCCAAGGTTATTTCAGTGGACCTTTCTCACAAGAAGAACTAGAATCCAAAATCAGCCCCTTTCATTCCTTGCCACTTCAGGTGGCCTTCAAAGATGGGACACCAGGTGATCCTCCCAAGTTTGATGTCTGCCATAATCTCTCCTATAGAGGTGCTCCAGGTTGCAGGATCAATGTGAAAGATTTTTCCACTTGCTGGGGCACAGCAGAACAAGTCACCTCCTTTGTACATCCTTGTTAAGAACTGGTTTGCTCAAAGCAGAAAGAGGGACTGATTCTGAGGGGCTTGGCCTCAGCTTGTATGCTGTGCCCCTTAGCTGAGTTTGTGCTATTCATTTCAGATGAAGCCCAATGATGGTCTAATGAAGTCCAGAGGACTTCTGGAGAAGTGTAGGAAATGTCCAGAGGAGCACAGGAGAGTTCTGGAGGAATGTAGGAAGTGCTCAGGAGAGTTCCCACTGCAAAGGGAATATAGAGACCCTTAGGTAATACTTCTACAGGACACAGGATGTCCAGGGGTACAGAGGACATAGGGGCTACATTGGACAAAGTCCAATGTAGAAACAAACAGAGGTAGACTACTCTGAGGTAGAGTTGGAGAGACAGGAATTGGACCTAAGTCTGGAAAGAGGGTAAGTGCCGGAAAGGCAAAGCTCTGGCCTAGAGAATCAATCCCTAGGCCTGATGGATAGGACAGAACTTAGGTGGACCAAAGTCCAAGAGAAGATTGGGTAAGTCTAAGTTGATATCCAAACTGAGGAAACCACAGGAGTATGTACAGGGATTATATACTAGAGGATATCTGAGAGGATCAGTAAGCAAAGGAGTAAGGCTATGTATGAGCATGTGTAAACACATTAGTAAGTAATATGGAACATAAGTAATGAACTCAGAGATGAAGACTCATACAAGGATCAATAAGCAAGATGGAACAAGAGGTAACCAAAAGCTGGAAAGCCAGAGATGTCTGAAAGGGGATAGGTACAGGATATCAGACAGAAGGTGGGAATAGGTCTGGAGATAGTTACAGTATAGGACCAGTCCTTTGCCCACCACATTTTGAAATGCATCCCACTTCATAATAACTCATTCTTTCGAAAATTGTAGTAGACAGTAATATTCCAATGCACATGTAAATACTATGATAATTTTTTGAGAGCTATCAATGACGATGTTAGTATGTTGTAGCAAGATCATTGAAAACAGCATTATCTTTGACTTTACCAGTCCTTTGCCCACCTCGATTTAGATGTCACATCATGCAACACCATAAATTTGTAATCCAAAAGGCAATGATAAGATTAAACACACTTGTGAGATTAATCATCTTCTTCCCCATCATCTTCTTGCTCACTCTGGCCTTGACACAGGTTTCTTGATTGCTCCCATCTTCAGTTTGTTCCACTGTGGTCTCCATTTCTCCAACTTTGCCAAATCTCATTCTGCTTCTCACTCAGCCTTCTGTGTCTCAAAAATTGCTCTTGTTGCTTGGTTTTGTTCTTTCCGCTCTATCTCCTCTGTTTTCCAATGTGCGAGCTCTTCAGAATGTTCTGCTCTTCTCTTGGCCCTGATCTCTTTTTCTCTGGCTTCTGCCTCCATGGCATTTTTGTGTGATAGCCTGTGCCATGAAGACATCACCAGTGAGCATATGAGGTAAGCCATCACTGATGAGCCTTGTACCCTTTCTCCTCCCTGCTTTTTCTTCCTGCACTGCAAGCTGACCATGTACTTGATCACAGTATCTGACCTGTAGGACTGATGCTGCCTGTAAGCCAATCATTTGACACTTAGATTCCTCCTTGCATTGCTGTCTTCTAGACTCTCAACTCTAAATCTGCTTCTCCGGATATCCAGATCCAAGATCCGGATCTCAAATGATCTGATCTATCTTTATCTCCCTTCCAGAATCCAAACCCTATATCAGCGCCCAACTCCATTTAGACTGCCCCTGTCTCCGGACTCCAGTTAACCATGTTTCCCTTTTGATTATTGATCCATTACATACATTTCATTTCTGGTGTTCATTATTTGTGATCCATCCTACTTACTAATAGACTTTGCATATGCTTCATACATAGCCTTTATGTTTGCTGACTGATTCCTATATGATACCTACAGTATATAAACCTCCTGTAACTCTTGGAAATACTCCAGTTCGAATATCATCTTAGTTCCTGCTCATTCCTGTTCCTCCAGACTTGAGATAAGTCTCTTGTCATATTCCAAGTCTTAGGATTGCATCCTAGACTACATTTCTGACTCTACCTTAAGGGTAGTCCATCCTCTGTTAGTTTCTAGTCTGGACTTCGTCCGGATTAGTCTTATCCGCTTGCCCAGGTAACATCCAGACATCCATTATCTGCCCTAGTCAAATCCTGGAAACTCTGGATGACTGTTCTAGCCCCCGGAAATTAAGGGCACATACTCGGGAAAGGGGCACAGCGTATGAGCTGAGGCCAAGCCCTTGTGATCTGACCCCCTTGAGCATGCGAGCCTAACAATTGCTCTGACTCCAGCAAGGCAACTTGGAGTTTGTGCTCTGCTGTGGTCATGGCAGGATGGTTTAAAAATTCCCCATACCATTTGTACTGCAGTGGCGATACTGTCTGTGGCATGTACATAGGTATTTCAGATGTCAAGCAGATAGGACTCAAGGTAAACAGGAATGCTGCAGATGTTGTCACTAAGCTATTGACTGCCATTTGTGCAGATTATGAATATTGGTTCAGGCCTGACTCAGGTCATGCTGGACTAGATAGCACTTCAGTTGCCCTCTGAATCAATTGAGACACAATGTAGACTGGTGTCGTCTGAACAAGTGGCAGGTGACCATGACATGATGTCTCTTGATTTGGCACCATGACTTCCTCCATAACAACATCTGGATTGAAAGGGTGGACCCCTGTCTTCTTGAATGCAGCTTTGATAAGCTCTGTTGTGAGTGCATGGTTGTGAGCATGTCCATAGATAGCTAAACAGTTTTGCTTTGAAAGCTCTTCACCATGTTCCCTTTGCCATTGGGCTTTCTCCTCTGCCCAGCAAGCTTTCAGCCTGCTGAAGACAACAATGTCAAGACCCTGGTAAATATGGGTGCTATGAGATGGTGAAGGTGAGGACTTTGGACTATAGGAGAAACAGACTGCTACTAGGGGAACTCTACAGCAAGACCTGGATGTGAGACAGAACTCAGCCTAAAGGACAGCTACTGAGAGAGAGTCCTTGAGATGACTGAGGGAGACTCTGAAACCAAATGGGCACTAGAGGATATGTGAAGCGCAAATGCTGGGAGAAGCGTGGTCAAGGTGTGTGCGAAAGTGCACTGGGGCGATAGGAAGTAAGAGCATGCATGTCGAAACACAGCATGTGCAATGGGGGTCTAAAGCATAGAGGCAAGAGCTATCTGGAAACTAAATCCAGTGAAGAAGGAATCAAACTGGCACAAAGTGATCGTGTCTAAGCAGGTAGCATACAAATTCCGACTTTTGGGAGCTTTCAACTTTCTCTAATGTGCAAACTACTGCTAATACACAGAGATGGGGAGTGCTAGGATCATATTTCTAAAAAACTATAAGTCCCTTCTCTATATTGAGTGCTAGGCGTCGCTTGTAGCATGGAAGTGAAGTAAGTAGGTAGCGATATCTGTATGTAATGGCACTTAAGCATGTGTGTGTGCATTTATAGTGCCATAATCAGTCCAGAAGATATGTCAGAGTGATAAGAATACAATAAAAATGCACCAGTGGACTTTAGTGAGGACATGGATGGGTGGATGGACTGGAGTGGAGGACCTAGAGCAGGCACACAGGACATGCAAGTGCATTTGCATGCGTGCAGCAGCTGCATGATAGCACAAGTGACTTATCCTGAGGATCAGGACTGGAGTATCAGTGGGAAGGAGTGGTATATCATCCTATAGCAGTGATATAGAGGTGCAAGTCTCTACAATGGGTAGCACAAGACATGAATGTTATGTGTGCATGCATGTTCTAAGAAAGCTCGTGTGTAGTGAGACAAGTGACCATCAACCAGGGGAAGTCATGCAGAGCCTTTGGCTTTGCCTCAAGTATGTTTATCAAAGTGTTGGATCCAGAGTAGTCCAAGCTTGCCATCAGTCCATCCTTTTGCAGAATATCCAAGGCTAAAGGACTGTTTTAGTAGGATCACTAGTAGGACCAATGGCCAAGAGTGCTTATGATGCATTAGCAGGGTTTTCTTGACACCAGTTCATGTGATAACCTTTTCCTTTGAAGATAACACAAGGTGGTGCTGTCTCTCCATCAGCACAGATACTGACAATGACAGTTGTCAGCTCCTTGCTCCCACTTTGTTGCTCATATATGGTATGGGCACCACTTGCTCCTATCACTTGTTCCTTTCCCTCATCAGCTCCTTGGAAACCAGACTCATCAAATGCCCAAATGCAATGGGGCTTGATTGGTTTTCCACCATCTCCTTTAGACAAAGTATCATGCAGAAGACTAAAATATGCCTCTTTTGTGGCAGGGTTAACAGCATGGCCATAGGCACTATCAAGACCTCAAACATAGTAGGTGCCCAACCTGTTTGAATGCTTCTCCATGAAATGATCTGTCCAGTTTTTGCCAACACCTGTTTTAGGAAATTTACCACCAAGTCGAGCATGCAGAATCTCATCAATGTGTTCCTTGAGTCATTTGTGGCTGAGTGGGAATCCTTGATGTGCTATCTCAATGGAATACTCTATTACTCTCTCTGTCTTCTCTGGGATGAGCCAACCTTTCTCTGCATTTAAGTCACTGAGCCTCCTACCACCTTTTGCCAGATTTGCAAGTGTCCTATCACTGAGTTTTATGACTCTTCCTGTCTCTGTGAAATATGCCTTCTTGACTTCCTGGCAAACCATTCATCTTCCTTTTTTCTCCTCTGTAGGTTCCTTTTCAAGCTTAGCCTGGTAAATGGCCACTGCTCAGGCCATAATCATATCATGTTCTTCTTGTAGAATCTGCCTTTTTTGTATTAGATTTTGCTCATCCTACCATGGCTTTGCCACTTGTCAGTAATATGCTGTGTGATTAAGTTTAGAGTTCGAGAGTTGAATAGTTTGAGAACTATGTGTGACCAGCTCCCCAAGATAAGACCTTTGAAAACTACCATTGTTCAATCTATGTACTTTATAGAAGGAACAAAGGAGGTATTCACAAATATGTTGCAGGTGAAAATGATGTTCAAAGTATATACATTGTATTGTACCAGCCACTTTTTCTCAAAAAAAATCATTGATATACTATGGCTTTCAACAAAATTCATTCAGGATGGAAAAATCAACTGATTTGTGTCATGCACAACATTGTGGACATCAATTCTTCATCATATGCTATACAAACGTCCATTGAGGCCTCATCTTTACTATCTTCCTATATGTTAATATGAAAAAATGAAGAAATAATAAATTTTGCCTGAGGTGGGTAAAGGAGTGGGGGTGGGCAAAGGACTGGTCCTATACTGTACAGTCAATATCCAGAGGTCCAGAGATCTGAGGATCTGGAAGATGAGATGGATACAGGACCAGGATATGAGGAGATGGATATAGTCCAGAATCCAAGATGAGATAAAGTCTAGATGTCCTGCTAGTGGGAAGGTGCACATGGTGGACAGGATAGGGGTGCACAGATCAGGCTAGCAGTGGAGATCTGATGGTCCGGAGCTCAGGGGTAATTCCATAGTGGAGCTGATCTTGCTGAGGTGTAGAGCAGACAGTGGAGGGAGAATTTGGAATGAGTTGGATATGAGGTGGGGTCTGGACATAGGCTCAGAAGGCATGGGAATATGATGAAATGTGAGTCCAGATTGTGGGATATGACAGTCCTCCCTTCATTTCCTTTCTTCTCATGCACTCCCCCATTCCACTACCATTCTCTATATGACCTCACAACAAAATTGCTGAGGAGTGCATTGTCTGGGCAGTCCAGATATATACCATTCTCTCCCAGATCCCCTCTGATCTATTCACAAATGCCACCACTCACAGCAGTCCTTTTGAGCAATCCAAATGCTCACCTTCTACTCCTGATCCTCCATTAATCCTTCCTTTCAAGCATCTTTGCTTACCTTGTCACAGGTTACATCTGCTCATCCATGCACTCAAGCAGTCTCTCTAACATCTAGAGAGTACCTATCACACAATCTCAATCCTTCTGGATCACAAATGCTGTTACAGTCATTGTGCACCCCTACTTATTTTCTCCTTTTTGCTTACCATTGCCTTTGCTTACAATACTTGTATTATGTTGTGTGTCACATCTTGCTGCCATTAGATGATTTGTCTATGTGTCTCATACATCATTGATGATGTGCCTCATTTACATCATAGCTTACACATTGCTATGCCTTCCCTTCTTGTACTTTGTACTTACCTATCTCATCTCAATCTGTATACACTATATGACCTATTTAAGCACATAGTTACTGCTTGTATTTCCTCACTTTAATCTTACTAGGTTTTACCTGGAACTTCCTTTACTTAGAACCTCCAATTCTAAGTTGTCTGAATCTTATCTCAAGTTAGAGACACTCTCTTCATCTTGTCTTAAGCTGAATATCTTGCATATGCAAGATGTATTGATTCTCACTAGAGGTCCTAACTCTTATTGAGTTGTCTAGTGTTAGAACTATCCTAGTTCATAACAATGCTACTTGGTGGTGCATTTCCATGATCTCTTCTATATAGATCATAACCTCCCTTTTGGCACATTCTCTGCAGCTGGTATCCAAGAGGAAGGGGCCAATGCTACTGGACATCTGGAACCATATGGACATTGGTCTCACATGGAAATGGGTCAACAATTTCCTCATTGTCTGAGTTTCAGACCCAGATGGACCTTTTGTTGGTATCTCCAACAGTGTTCTCTTTTGGTACCACTACAATATCAAATCAGCCAAGAACTATATTGGTCCTATCAACATACCCTGGCACAAAAGCAAAGGATCTGACTTTGCTAATGTACAGGTCTATGTTGGTTATATTTTGATTTTCCTGCTTGCACTATTGCTCTTCCAGAGATGAAACATCTCAAATATATCCATCACCTTGATTCCTTCCTACTCCTCTTGCTAGGTTCCCAAGAAAGCAGCTGAAAAGATCAGTGGCACTTTTACTTGCTGTGCTTTTGTGTTCCTGCACAGCTGCTCTTACCTATCTGCACTATACCAGTAGATTGCAGACTTTCCTGTGGACTTCATCCCTCACTATATGCAGAAATTGGTTAGATCTGACCTTAAGTGGTGGCTCAATCTTGTTAAGGTCATACTCAAAGGATAACTGGATCCAAAGGGCTTCAGCCTCAGCCCGTGTGCTGTGCCCCTTACCTGAGTATTGCCCCTTATTTCAGGAAGGCAAGACTAACATGTCCACAAGATTGGACAAGTATCGTAACAGATCCGGATGACTTCTGGATGCGGGATAGGTATCGTAGGGCTAATATGGACGAGTCCAGACTAGAAACTAACAGTAATAGACTGTTGGAGACAGAGGCAGATACGGATAGACTATAGGAATCAATCTTAAGTCTCAGAGGGTGACAAGAGTAGAGATGCTCAAGTCTGGAGGATGGGAATGAGTAGAACTAAGATGATATTCGAACTGAGGTACTACAGAAAGTTACAGGAGGTTATATACTATAGGTATCTAATGGAATGATCAATCAGCAGAGTCCAAGGCTATGTACAAAGCATGTGGATAGTCTATTGGTAAGTAGAAATGGATCACAAATCATGAAATGGAAATGAAACATAGGTAGTGGATCAGGGAGCAGGACAGATATACAGATAACCGAAATACCAGAGTTAGGGGGTTACTGAAAGGAGACGAGCACTGGTTGTGGATTCAGATGAGTTGTGGACTGGACTGGATGAGTGGACAGATTGAATGACGAGATGTTGGAGGGAGATAAGATGTGGATCTGAGATGAGATAAGGGTTGGATCTGAGATCCAGATATGCAGATATGACAAATCTACTCAAGTACAACCATAGTCCTTACCTTCTCTCCTCAAGACCTCCCACTGTTAAGGTCACGTGCTCAAGGGGGTCAGATCACAAGGGCTTGGCCTCAGCTCATACACTGTGCCCCTTTCCCAAGTATGTGCCCTTAATTTCCAGGGGCTAGAACAGTCATCTGGAGTTTCCGGGATTTGACTAGGGCGGATAACAGACGTCCGGATCTGAAATGTGAGATAAATCTGACGGACGTCCGGATATTACCTGGGCAAGTGGATAAGACTAATCTGGACGAAGTCCAGACTAGAAACTAACAGAGGATGGACTACCCTTAAGGTAGAGTCAGAAATGTAGTCTAGGATGCAATCCTAAGACTTGGAATATGACAAGAGACTTATCTCAAGTCCAGAGGACACAGGAATGAGCAGGAACTAAGATGATATTCGAACTGGAGTATTTCCAAGAGTTACAGGAGGTTTATATACTGTAGGTATCATATAGGAATCAGTCAGCAAACATAAAGGCTATGTACGAAGCATATGCAGAGTATATTAGTAAGTAGGATGGATCACAAATAATGAACACTGGAAATGAAATGTATGTAATGGATCAATAATCAAAAGGGAAACATGGTTAACCAGAGTCTGGAGACAGGGGCAGTCTAAATGGGGTTGTGCACTGATATAGGGTTTGGATTCTGGAAGGGAGATAAAGATAGATCAGATCATTTGAGATCCGGATATCCAGAGAAGTGGATTTAGAGTTGAGAGTCCGGAATGGCATATGACACCCACTCAGGATTACAATATTTGGGTCAATGCATCCACTGTAACAGACTCTGGGAGGCATGGACTACTTCAGATGGTTGGCATGACTCAATTTGGCATGACATCAGGTGGCTAGAGATCATTGTAATTGAATTCACTGTTGCAGTCACTTCCTCCTTTGGCATTTTCAATGCTGATATACATACTCATTCACAGTGATAACAAAGGTGCCATCAGTGCCTTCCATAAAGGCCATTGTTTGAACCTCACCTCCAACACATGTATTAAATGCACAGAAGCTACACTTTGTGTGGTAGATCTCTCAATATCTCTTATATATGTTCACACCAGTATCAACTTAGCAGACCCTATTTCATGAGGCATCCTCCCAGGACCTTCATCCTGTCTACCTTTTTGGATTCCTATCCCTAAAAAAACTCTCTCCCTTTATCACCTATGGAATTTAATCCCAATCCTGAGCTTGAGTTCATTTTTAACATCCCAGATGACCCTTGGTGTTTAGACTCTGTTAAAGTCCGCAAAGCTGCAGCATTCTGACAGATGAATAAGAATTCTACATAAACCTCACAAAGATGCCTCCATCATTCCCTCAGCTCATCATCCACATGTATTTGCCAGTGAATGTGTCTTCCTCTGGACCACCCCTCATGGTTCCAATTCTCAACATGAGCCACATAGAACAACCCTTCCCCAAGTCAGACATCCTCAAAATGTTCTTCATCCTCATTCACTCCCTTGATGAGAACACCTGAAGCAACTATGGTGCAGGACTTCTTCACTTCACCCAATACTCTAACAAATATCTTATCCCAGAGACTCAACACATGCCAGTGTCTGTGAATTTATCATCCACCTTCATTCTGTGGGCTTCATTTCTGACAGCACCACCAGCAATTGACTCTCTGGCCTACATTTTTGGCATGTTGTCAATGGTGTACCATGGAATGGCTCCAACTCCCCTCTTTTGCATCATGTGAAGTGCAGCCTCATGCATCTAGTCCCTCCCAACTCAAAATAGGCCCAATGTCTTCTAGTCACACTAGATGCTCTTGTCCAATTGGGACAGGGCCTCAATTTATCAAACTTGTTCAACATAGTGGTGTTTGCTATTGCTTGCATAGCCTTTTGGTCTTGTTGTTGGTAGGACCATTAATCCCTTTCCATACTATTCCACATTCTAACACCATCTCAAGTCTTGGTGAGCTTCTAATTCCTAGTCCAAATACCTTTGACACCATCAAACACATCTCCTGCTATGTTCTTCTCATTGCCATACAAGACTCTCACAATGTATGTCAGCTGTCCTTTCATATTCCTTGGACCAAGATGATGGGTATCAATAGTGTGGACATCAGTGTCACTGCTTGGGATCATCCCACCTGCCCTCTTATTGCACTTCTCTTACATCTTGATGTTAACATCAATATCCCTTCTCATGCTCCCTTATTTTCATTTGAAACAGTGTACAGTTCATGGATCATGTCAATGCTATTCAGTCAGTAGCAGGCAATTCAAGTATGCCAGGGCACACCTTTTGAAATGGCAGACCTGTCATATTCTACATGTCTGGATCTTCAGATCCAGATCTCAGATCCAATCCACACCTAATTCCCATCCATGTCTATCCTTCATTTCTGAACCCAGAACCAGTGCTCATCTCCATTTAGACTTTCTCCTGTACTGGCTATCTGGTTGTATACTCTTCTGCCCTGATTACTGATCTGTTACCTCTATTTCATTTCTGGTTTCATTTTCTTTGCTCAGGCTGACTTACCAATAGACTTTTCATATGCTTCATACATAGCCTCAGACTCTGCTTACTGACCATTCTATTAGTTACCTAGAGCATATAACCTCCTGTACATCACTATAACACCTCAGTTCAAATATCACATTAGTTCTGCTTATTCCATCTTCCAGACCTAAGTTCCCTCAACTCATATCAAACCTCTGAGACTTAAGGATTGATTCCTATAAGTGTTAAGAACCATGCTCAAGGGAGAGAGAGACTGACTCAGAGGGGCTTGGCCTCAGCTCATACACTGTGCCCCTTACACAAGTATGTGCCCTTCATTTCAGATGAAGTCCAAAGGACTTCTGGAGGCTGGCTACTCTGGTAGAGTGCAGGAGGACTTCTGGAGGAGCATGGGAGAGTTCCAGAGGAGTACAGGAAATACTCATAGGAGTTCCCACTGCACAGGAAGTGGAGAGACCCCAAGGTAATATCTCTATGGGAAACAGGATAGAAGGATAGGAGGCCCAGAGGTCTGGAAGTATGAAGGACAGGAGGTCCAGAGAACAAGACGTCCGGAGGTACACAGGACAGGACAGGATATCTGGAGGTACAAGGGACAGGACAGGATGTCCGGAAGGAATAGGGGCTACATTGGACAAAGTCTGATGTAGAAACAAACAGAGGTAGACTACCCTAAGGTAGAGTCAGAAAGACAGGGATTGGACCTAAGTCCAGAAAGAGAGTAAGTGCCAGAAAGACAAAGCTCCAGCCTAGGGAATCAATCCCTAGGCCTAATGGATAGGACAGAACTTAGGTGGACCAAAGTCCAGATAGAACAGGAACTAAGATGATATTCAGACTGAGGACTTTACAAGAGTTATATAGGGGTTATATACTAGAGGATATCTGAGAGGATCAGTAAGCAACAGAGTGTCATATCCCACAATCCAGACCCACAATCCATAATATTCCCATGTCTTCTGAGCCTATGTCTGTTACAACATGGTTACCCCCTATCTCTTTTTCCTATAACTTGTGTATTACGTCATGACTGCACCTTGCTGTGCCATCACTAGACCAGAACACCTTCTAGATCTGTATTACATCACGACCGCCACGTGCCGTTGCTAGATGACTCATTTCCTTATCTCTACCATGTTTCCTTATCTCTGACTTGTCCCCTTATCTCTGACTCGACTGATGACATGTATGAACCTGCCCTAAAGGACCTACGTCTATATAAACCCGGTCATGTACTTAGATAGACTTCACTTTAATCTACTAGGTCTTCACCTGAACTATCCTTTGCTTAGGACCCCCAATCCTAAGTTGTCTGATAAACCGATATTCAAGTCAGAGACACTCTCTTTGGCTTGTCTTAAGAACCTTACATTTGTAAGGACACGATCCGGCTTCAGGCGTGCTCTTATTGAGTACCTGTCATCGTGCCCATCCTAGTTCGCCATAACAAAAGATTAAAGTCATCTACCAACCCTCTCCATCAGAGAGGTTACAGATCTCAGAAAGAACTCAGCAAGAGAATGATCAACGTTCCCCTGAACCAGAAACATCACTAGACCAGAACGATCAGGATGTCCACCGTCCCCAACACTCCAGAATTGAAAGCCAGAGCTCCGTCAACCTATGATGGAAGCCCTCACCAGGCTTTATGATGGTTGTATGCTATCAAGGCGTATTTTGCGCTTAACGCTACAATCTACAACACCAATGAGAAGAAGGTTATCACCGCTCTCACATATATGACAGAAAATAGCGCCATGGGTTGGGCGCTCACTTTCTACACTGAAGTTGATAACTCCTCCTCAAAGTCCTACGGAACTTTTGCGAACTTTGAAATGAAGTTCAAAGAGGCTTTTGTACCGGCCGATGCTATTGGTACCGCCATGAACAAACTCCGAACCTTGAAGCAGACCGGTGACCTCGCTTCCTACGTCTCCAGTTTCAAGATGCTTGCTGCACAAGCTTCCGTAAAGCAAGACGCCGTCTTGATTACATTCTTCAACGACGGGTTGAAGAAAGGAATCGTCAATTCCGTCTTTCAGATGGAAACCATTCCCTCAGACTTCGACAAATACGTTGCCGCAGTTACTAGACTTGACAGTAACTACCAGAGAGGTGCCGCGTACCAATTAAACCAGCGGACCACCACCAAACCGACGGGACATCGCTATGTACCCAGACCCTCTGTTGATCGACACAATCCAAACGCCATGGAGGTAGACAGGCTCACAGAAGCCGAGAGAAGTGACCACATGAAGAAGGGATTATGCTTCACGTGTCACCAGAAGGGGCATATGACCAGAGCATGCCCACAGAAGAAGAAGATTCCTGTTCGCCAAGAAGAAATAAGCGACAGCGAAGATGAAGACACAACGATCCGTTGTATCACTGAGGATTTTTGATGTGGAAGACTGGATCAACGTCAGTATTTTCCGATGTACCCGTTAGACTTGTACAAAGTATTGGAATCAGAAAGGAACTTCACGTTCCCATTTCCCTTATTTCAAAGACTCATCTGAAAACTGTCGAAACAACAGCCGTTGTTGACTCCGGCGCTGCTGGAACCTTTATCTCCGAAGAGTTTGTCAAGACTCACAGAATCCGAATGCACAAACTATCAAAACCATTTCGAGTTACTACCGCGGATGGAAGTTATGTGAAGGGGGGGTGCTATCACCCGATATTGTGTCCTTATTGTCAAGATAGATGAACGATCCATGATAGGAAAGTTCAACATCACGCGACTCGGTCGGCGTGATCAGATTTTACTAGGGATCCCATGGCTACGTGCTATGGACCCAGTAATATGATGGAAAGCAGAGATGCTGGAACTCCATAGAATGGAGAAGAGCGACTTGATTGAAGAAGATGTTGATAATGAACGAAAGAAGAATGGACTCCCCCCCTATTTCTGAAATCGAAATGGATGAGTCAAGAGATAAACCCAACCCCTGTCGTAGTGCTGCCAAAGTCGTCTCCCTTGGGACAAGCCACCAAGCCTAGAGAGCCAACGCCACAAGCCACTATAGAGGAAATCCCTGACGAAGAAACCCCACCATCATTACCTAACCTTGACCCAATTCCTGATGACGATGACAACTCTTTCAATACCAAAGAAGATGTATGGACAACGGATGATGCACCACCCGTGCGAGAAATCTCTATGTATCATCTAGAAGATGACGAATTTTTGGTTGAGTATCCCATCAATGCCACAGAGCTCTGGGTATTTGCCAATGTCTCATTAGACACTTCGTTAACAAAGGATGGGACTAGCATCACAGAACAAAGAACCACGGTTACGCCCCTGACATGACCCACCGAGTACATCAAGACCAGCAACAAGGCCCAACAGTTTGCGTTAGCTGCTGGGCTCGAGCAAAAGAAGAAGTCTTTTGAAGAACTCGTTCCCTCCTACCTTCACGACTTCACCGATATCTTCGCAAAGGATGGTCTGAATCAGTTACCTCCCAAATGACCTGGGATAGATCATTGAATAGAAACTAAATCCGGTTTTATTCCCAAAACGTCCAAGGTATACCCATTATCAGAGAAAGAGCATGTAGCGGTCAAAGCATTCATTGATGAGAACGTGAAAAAAG